GGGAGTAAATTTGAAGCACAGAAGCTATTTAGGGGGCTGTTTTATGTGAAAGACTGTGGTGGCCACAGGACTGTTGAGAAGGTAATAGATTTGGGAAGTGGGGAGGATGTGATGTTAATAAGCCTGGTGATGGAATGTGGAGACAAGGAAAGAGATGATCTGAATTACTTTGATTTATGGTTTGGAAAACTGGGCTTATATAGCAAACCCAGTCAGCAGAAGACCCCTTAGGGTCGAGGGAGGGGAGGGGAAGGCAGGGAATTTAATTTGGGATCTGTTGCTTTGGAGGAGGCTCAAGACAACCAAGGGGGTATGTTCCAAATCTTAGGAGAGAAATCTGGGCTGGAAATAAAGATTTGTGATTCATCAGCTCCTAATTAGTCTCAATGACTCCTTTGGTAATTGAAACCTTTGAAGTGGCGGAAGTAACTCAAGGAGAGTATGTAATGAGAAGAAAAGGTTGGTGAAGGACCATGGGGAGCTTTGCACTTAAAGGAGAGCTGGGCAGAGGGCCACTCACAGGAAGCTGAGAGCAGTGGTTGGAGAGGTGTGTGGAAGGCTGGGGGCACCAACGACAGTGGGATGTCACCATCTGTGCAGATGGCTTTGTGCTGTGTCCCCAGCCAGGGCACAGGGCTGAACCCACACAGGGCACAAGTGACAAAGTCAGCAGCCTACCTAGCAGTCCCATTTATTTAGTTCAATGTTTGAGGAATGAGAAATAGGAAATTACCTATTTTTTAACTCTCAAATAGTAAACATGTATTTTGTTTGCTGAGAGCATTTTTCTTTATTTATTGGTAAACCTTTTGTTTTATCTGTTAAGTGGAGGAGATGGTACTCCTAGAATGCACAGGGGTGTGACAGATTGAATGGATGAACATAAGTATGAAGTGCTGAGCCTAACACACAGCTGTTCAGTGGGTGAGAGTTGTTTTATCTCTGCCTTCATCTCTTTGCAGTGTCGGGTTTGGAATCCAGGCCTCAGCATGCGAGGCTAGCACTCTACCACTGAGCCATGTCCCCAGCCCTCTTCTTTCTTAATAAAGAACTTATGCCTCGTAAAATTAAACTGTGTTGTTTTGGAACTCAAGTTTTTTATGCAGCAGATTTCCATGAAGAAAAAAAAATTTAATTATTGATTGAATTGTACTGTTATAATTAGAATTAGGTTCATAACAAATAGGAACACTGTCTGATAAACTCTCAAACAAAAACAAAGCCAAAAATTGTTCTTGTTATCCCCTTGTTGAATCTGGCCTTCTGTTTGAAATTAATTAGATTTTTGGATAACTATGCTAAACTTTGTCACATCCTTATTAAAATTGCTTAAGGATTTTGAAGAACATCTCAGAGGGACTCTGAAACTAATATGAGCCTGGTACTGGAGATTCCATTAGCAACTGCAAAACTGATTAATCTTTTACCCAGTTAGCTTATTGATTATTGCTGCAATTACTGCATGTGACAGATTATGCAAGGCATAGTAGCAGAAGACAATTTTAGAACTGCTGCTCATATATTCAGTTTGAGCACAACATTCTGTACTTTCTACACATATGTTTGCATTTTTGAATGCTACAACAGGTCTAAGATGGAAAGTACTGTGCTTAATATTGCTTCACTGTTAGAGGTTCACTTTTTCATTTCTAACTAATATTTCATTATGGTTTAACGTGCCTTTTAATTCTATTACTTTCAGTTTAATTTTTGAGTCACATAATAATTCTTTGTGACAGGGTAGATATTTTTATGCTCATTTGAAGAAAACTAAGTTTGTTCAGTAAGGTTAAATGACTGCAGAAGGTTACACAAGTTAATGAGTGACAAAATCAGGATTTAACCCTATTTCAATCAGTAAATATTTATTGAGCACCTACTGTGTGCAGAGCTTTGTCTTGGGGTAATAAAAACCAAGGCAGGATTATAGAGGTTAAGATAAAGAAGTTGTTTGTAAGTTGTGGCCTTGTTACTGTTGCTGGTCGTTTTGTCACTTTTCTGTTCAAGTCATGTATCTTGGTGTATAAGTTTTAAGGGTTTTGTTTTTTTGTTATGTTTGTTTTCTCTTTTGTTTCTGGTTAGTAGAAGCCTTGCCTTTGTCATCACTGATTATTCTTATCACTATTTAAAATCAAATTGGAGAGAATCCCCTTAAAGAGTATACTAAAAAGACATGGAGAGAGAATCAAGATCTGAAAATGGCTCGCTTTGCAGTTTATTAGTTGATGTCTTTTGTTCTCATGTGAGTCTTACAGCAGTCCTCTGGGTAGACCTCATCTTCACTTATAGCTGTTGCTTCTCTGGGATCATGTGCTAGGATTCAGCTAGTGCTGACCACTGGGAGTGAGCCCTCTCACTCCGCCAAGTGCCTTGCTCATCTTACTGGGCAGCAAGGACTTGTAGTCTGGTGGGACTGCTGTATGCTGAAATGTACCACGCATGTGCCACATTTTATCCTTGTTCCATAGGGAACGCTGCATCTGCAGTGGCCTGAGCTCTGAGGCCTGGTACCTTCTTGGTGTTCACCTGTCCCTCATCAGACCTGCCTGTCAGAGGTCAGCTGTGTGCAGTGAGTCCACACTGTGGGTTTGGTTGCCATACTTCATGGTGTGTCCTTTATAGTGAATTTGCTCTGTGGAATGCAAGATTCCTCATTCATTCAAACACAGACTAACCCAATATGTCAGCAGGAGGAAGGAAATAGACTTGGATTTGGAAAGGTTGTAAGAAAGAAGGGGGGGGGGAACTAACTGCTCTAGGTAAATTGGTAAGTAGCATATATCATAACTATGATAAGGTTAATCATACTACAAATCATATTACAAAGATTATGTTAATCATAGATTGCTTAATACTTCTCACAATGGCTATAAAAGTATATGTTATTTGCTAGTTGGGTCTGCACATACCTAAAATGAAAGGAAACCATTTTTATTTATTTGTTTTGTGAGATAAATAAATAAAGCTGGAAAACAGGTCAATTTCATGCATGCAAGGTTTTATAGTAGGAAAAAAATGCATTGCACCTATTCTGACCCTTTACTTTTGAGGTTATTTGTTTTCAAACTTGACCCCAAGCACCAGTTTCAGACAAGTCTATAATTAATTTGTTAGATAAAGCATAAGGATATTTGATTTTTTTTTTATTTCTAGGATGGTGATGAAATAGTAACTGGAATTACTAACCTATTGTACATAGCAGTTAATTAAAGAAGAGCATTAACAATAGGAGAACACCACCACTGCTGTTGTCTTGTATCAGTATAAAAAGGCAGTAATTTTTTTGACAGCCACTGATTGGAAAGTTGCTTGCAGCCTTCCAGAAGCAAGGGGGTACATGCTGTGGATCAATAACCGGCAAATTTCCCATTAAAAAGAATACCTGAGCAATGTTCCAAATAGCCACTGGCATCTTAATTTTCCATGGAAACCTCAAATACTTATGTGCCGAGGACAAGTCATTTTCGGACAATTTTTCCAGACTACTTGTTAACAGTTATTGCTGTCCCAAAAGGTTGACAGCCAACATGATTGATATTTCACTTACTTGTCATCACTATTTGAGTAATGGCGAGTGCTGTATTTCTGTGGTTTTGATGAACAGAGTCTCCTGAAAGACATTGCCTTAGTTCTATTCGTAGAACGTGTTGCATGTCTTTACGCTGTAGGTGTGTAAATTTTTAGTCCCATAGAAGGAAAGGATCACATTCCTTTACGGTTTGAAAGCCTTGCAGAGCAGGGGACACTCATATCAGTCCACAGATATAAAAAAACCCACCCTTACCTTATTTGTTGCTGTGGCAAAAGGCATAGGCTTATTAACTTATAATTCCCAAGATGATGTAGAATTTTATGACTCTCCTTTATTCCTAAGGAAAAAAACCTTGGTCTTGTAATAATTTTAATGTTCATAAAAGAAATAAGGAGACATATATATATATATATGTCTCTTCTTCTTTTTTGTGTGTGTGATGCTGGGGATCGAACCCAGGGCCTCATGTGTGCGAGACAAGCACTTTACCATCCGAGCTATATCCTCAGCCCTATGTATGTCTTCTAAATGGAAACTTTTTTAGAATGTCAGCAAAGGATGACAATCAAGGAATATGTTTCTTGAAGTTGTGCAAATAATATGTTTTAAGTATAGAAATAGCAAGGATGAAAGAGGAGTTCTTTTTACAGCCTCTCAAAGCACAAAATCAGTGGTTTTCATCGTTGCTATTTTTCCACTGAGAACATAATTTTGCTGTTTGTCCAGCATTAAGATAAGTGAGAACACAGAAGCCACCCCTGAGTTAGGTGGGCATGTGTGCACCAACTAGCATATCAAGGAAATGGGAATCAGGCCCAGTATAAACTACTTAATGATTTGTGTTTATGAAGGATTTGGAGTTTACTTAGCACCATAATATTACAGTGAAATTTGGTTTATTCTAAAGTGTTTATAAAGCTAACACATTATGAAATTAGACTCGCTTTTATCATATTAATCCTATTATTCTTTGGATGAGTCATATCTTCCTTGATGGTTCCACAGTCCCTGTGACTTAGATTTTTCACTATCTGTAGGTTTTACACCCAAATATGCGTAATGTTTGATTAACTAGCTAGTACATCAAAGCCAGAGGTGAAACTTTGTCATTTTGCCTTCCAGAATCCAAGGGAAAAGGACAACAGGCAATTTGAGAAATTTCCATTAAAATGCTTTTTGTGTCATTTTAAATATATTTCATTAAAATATTTCTTAAACCAAAAACTAATATGTAGTCTTAAGACTTGTAAAGGTAAAATGGCAGTTTAGTGGATAGCGCTGTACTGGACTTTCGGTCCTGAATAGATTCACTGTAGTCATTTCAGTACACAGAAAGGGGGAAAGTATTCTCAAGGCTGATATGTGTATATCAACAGACTGCAACAGTAATATGAGTTAAATAACCCCTAAGTGTCTGTTCCAGTATTCATACATTACTGAGTAATCTCTTTCTGTAATCTCTTTGCAGTATTATTCCACAGTAATGGAACAGCAAGTAAATGGACAGTTAATAGAGCCTCTGCAGATATTTCCAAGAGGTAATGTTGAACAAATTCTAATCAACAATGATTATTTCAGTAAACTGTTTCATCAACAGTTATGTTTTCCAAAGGTTTAAATGCACATAGCATGATGTTTAGCTCTTAATTTGAAAAAACAAAAGAAGTATTCATTATCGTGGGGATTGCAGGCTATATTATAGTTATAGCAGATAAAATATCTAATTTACTAGAGTAAATTAAACTAACTAGATTGTTTTTTGTTTTTGAAGTACGTACTTACATTCGCTTAAAGAACTCTTTGGGGGTCTGCATGGTTTCTAAACCAAGGCAAATGAATGACTTTCACTCTGGATATTTATAAATCGTGGCTCACAATGGTGGCCACAACTGCTATTGAGGAAGAAGCCTTCGGCTAGTGTGCTAGCTAAGATGTGCAGATGTGATTTGTGTTTATTTATTAGGAGAAAAATGTGGGTGGAATGTTTGGTGCTTGGTTTTGGGAGGAGGTATTTTCTAAATAACAGAAAATTTTCTCAAATGGAAATTGTATTATCAAGTTGCCAGAAATAAGAGCTGATGAGAGTGAGTCTCAGTGAATCTCCTGAAAGAAATAATTCCCTTTTAGGTTTGTCAGCACTAGCCTTGTATCAGATACGATCATTCAACTGTGTATGAAGTTCCCTCAAAATTTGAATAATTGTGAAGAAGAGCAGTTTAATTATATAAACCATTAAGTCTTTTACCTGTCATACATTGCCCCACTTGGAATCCATGTTTTCTAACTAATGGAACAGATAAGGAAATTCTCTAAGTAACTCTTCTAGAAATAACTTAATTGAAATAATTAAAAGTTAAACTTACCTTCGTTAACTAATACTGTACAAATAATCATGGTATGAGTTTTCCAATTAAACGTTCTAGACTTTCATTACCTGTAACTCTCTGAAGTTTGAATGGCTCAATTAACCAGTAGGCTCCTATTTGCAGTGATAAAGTCTCTGAAGGCAGCTAGCATGGCCAGTCCCTGAGAAGATCTGGGTTCAAGGGTAACGCTGTGCTGCCAGTGTTTGTGTGGGCAGCAGGATCAGGAGTGCTTGTTTTGTTATTAGTAGTCACTTACTATTAGTAGTCTTACTAAAGTAAAACTAAAGTCTTACTTTAGTCACTTACTAAAGTGCTAAGGAAGTAAATAAAATTGGGCCATTTAAGACCAATGATGTCCGAAACAATGATTATGATTAATTCAATTCTGTTGTACTTGAAGACTAATACCAAAACAAGGAAAAGAGAGAGAAATGTTGCCATTTTTGTGTATTAGGCTACTAACAAGATGGGGATTATTTCTTAATATTCTTAGTGGAGAATTTGGGTACCTTTCAAAATTGTTTCTCAACAAGGACTGGGTTTTGCTTTTTTCAACAAACTGGGAATTTCCATTAATTGCTTCAGAGCTCTGTTATAGCAAACTAAGTACAGTAACCTGGAGAATTATAGTTCCAATGCTGTAGGCTCTGTTTTTCTTTCATTTTCTTTTGGTACTAGAGACTGAACCCAGGAGTACTTAACCACCGAGCCACATCCCCAGCCCCATTTATTTATTTATTTATTTAGGGGTATGGGATTGAACTCAGGGACTGAGCCACATTCCCAGCCTTTTTTGTATTTTATTTAGAGACAGGGTCTCCCCGAGTTGCTTAGCGCTTCACAGTTGCTGAGGCTGACTTTGAACTTGCGATCCTCCTGCCTCAGCCTCCCAAGCCACTGGGATTACAGGCGTGCACCACTGTGCCCAGCTTTCTTTTTTATTTTGAGACAGGGTCTTGCTAAGTTGCTTAGGGCTTTGTTAGATTGTTGAGGTTGGCTTTGACCTTGTGATCTTCCTGCCTCAGCCTCTAAGGTGCTGGGATTATCAGCATGTGCCACCACACTCAGCTGTTTTTCTTTTCATTGTAATATTTACTTTTCTTCATCAGAAATCTTCTCAAGCTCAATTTGTTTTCTTTCATCTTATGAGAAGTCTTGTCAGTTTCACTGTTCATACCATTGTGCCCCTCCTGTGGTAGTAACAACCATTTTTAGATATCTATTCTATTCAGGCACTAATGTTGCCCTATGTGTCAATTCTGTTTCTCCCACAGAGAATAATACATACCTCCTAGGTATTATTGTTTCTAGTGTATGGATGAATTTTTGAGGTTCAGAGATGTTAAGTAACTTCAGAATTATACAGCTTGTAAGTGGTTAACACACCCTTGGAGTAAGAATTTTATAACTATGATTTGCTTAAAGTGGAAAGACACATCAATTAAAATACTATTATGCATGCATGAGGGTAGTTCGGAGGGTTTGGTGTAAAGGTGGAGAGAAGAGTATAATGTAAGGAGAGGATACTGAAAGGAAGAAAATGTGAGATGTTAGTGTCACATGGAGTTCCAGCACAAAACATACTAGACTGTAAGAAACAATTAAATATAGCCTCTCCAGGTCAAATGGAGAGATTTCAAAACATGAGAGCATAGAGGGAGAGATTAAGTTTCAGAACTTGAAACCCAGTTTCCCATCTTTATTTTTTGTATGCTGTATTATAACACTATTTTCTTTGCTTTTTTTCTACCTGTCTATGCCATGTCACATGTAGGTAGATGAGAGAGATTATGAAATGTATACAACAAGAACATAGAAATATTAGGCATATTACCTGGGTCTAACTAGTTCATTGGAGATCCTCAGATCTTAGATTTTGTGATTAGGCCCCAAGTTAAAAAGAAATTAACAAGGTGAGGTGGCTCACACATGGAATCCCAGTGACTCAGGAGGCTAAGGCAAGGGGATTGCAAGTTCAAGATCAGACTTAAACTTATTGAGAACTTCAGCAACTTAGCAAGACCCTTTCTCAAAGTGCAAAATAGAGGCCTGAAGATATAGCTCAGTGTTAGAGTGCCCTTGGGTTCAATCCCCAAAACCAGGAGAAAAATTTAAAAAAAGAATCTTTAGACTGAACAAATTCGAAGGACAGGAGAAAATGATTCTGTTCTAGAAATATGCTCTCTTCGTTCCAGTTACCTTGGATTGTAATTTTCAGCTCATGACCAACTCTTTCCTACAGTTAAAAGATGTGTTAGATATATTAATAAGTATGAGTATTCACTAGCATTACAGTAACTTCTGCCTCCCTGGATTTTTTGAATGCTGCTTAGATTTTCAATCATAAAGATTGGGGAAAGCAATTGAGAAGAAGCAAAGCAAACGTTAAGGTTAGAGTTAAGAGTTGAAGCCTGGCTCTCATCCTTCATCAGCCACTTTCTTGTACTAAATGAAGTTTATGAAATGTTCTGGTTACTTCAGCGGAAATATTTTGAAGTATTATCTTAGGAAGTACATCAAATGTATATGACTATTGTTTTGTTCAAAAAGTTAATTTCCATTTTAAGGAAAGAAGATTTGGAGTCTTAATTTGAATGTATTTTAGAAAGATAAGAAAAACCCTTTATTATGGTTTAGCTTGTTTTCTAGGAAAATAAGATAGTAAATTTGAATTTACTTGAAGTACACAAAATGAAAGCAACTCAAGCTTTGTAATTATTACCCACATCTTCTTATTAAGAAGCTCTATTTGTTGTCAGAAACAGAGGAAAAATACATATACATTGAAAGGAGCAAAAAAAAAAAAAAAAAAAAAAAATCAAATTCATCCTTCCCCAAACAATCAATCAAAATTGACAGCCCCTTTATAGGGCTCCTTAGTTTTCAAATGGAAGCAGTTCATAGCATGGACAGGAAGCTTATGTGTTTTTAACATTTGATAAAGAAGCATTGGAAAAGTGGTAACTTCTATCTCAAGATGGTGTCAGAAAATTAATATTTTAATTTTTAAATTTTTTTAATTTTTAAATTTTTAGTCCTAAATATTAGCAGGTGTCAAGACTTGCAAGAAATGTAATAAAATTAATTATATATCTATATTTTCCAACTGTTTATGGCTGTATAAAATAGTGTTCAAACTTAAATATTCCATCTTAGAGTCTCCAGCTATCTTTTGGCATTAAAAGATTCTCTCCTACTCCCCTTCCAAAAACAAAACAAAAATTTAAAAAACTTAGCTATTTTCAAAGTAGTCTAAGTGATAGCAGATTTACTCTACAATAGAGTGAAAGATTACAGAAATTTGAATTATGAAAGGAATATAATCATTTTAGCTCAGTTAACTTGATTTTTATGTTTTAAGCAGAAATTGGAATTTATATGAGGTGGTGTCAGAAAGCTCTTTGCATTTATAAATGCTCACTCCTGCAAGTTAAAACCCTGGTTCATAATTCCCACTTTGGGTCTTGGAAGCCACTTTTCAATCATTTCTCTCTGCTAATTTTGGTGTCACCCTCATTTCTTTTTAAACGATTCATTTTGAGCAAATTTGTAAATGGCCCTGATGTGTTCTACAATTTAGTCAATTACTGTTTCAGCCTGCAAGCCTCCTGGGGAACGGAACATACATGGCCTGAAGGTACGAATTTCAATAATTGTTTCAGTAAAGTTAGATGGATTTGTAATGCTGTGTTCCACTTATTGAAATGTCAAATAAAACTGCACTTTCTCAAGCTCTGACAAGCGATTCTTTTTTTTTTTTTTTAATGGGAGTTGGAGGGGGATTCATCTGTAGTATTTGCTCAGCATGTATAAATATTTGGATATTGGGGTTTTGGTGTTGTGTTTTTAATTATTTGGAATTGTTTTCTTGGCCAGTTTCTTGAAGATGATCCTGGACACTGGTCTCTACAAAGGTTTACTGGAGTGAGAATACAAGCTTCATTTCAGTGATTGATTAAGCATTCAAGCATATTGCACACAGAACACCTCCTTCTCTTGACATATTTATGCTAGAAACACATATCTAGTTAATGTCTTTTCATTGTTCTGTGTATTTTGAATTTTGGAATTCTGCTGAAGGCTTCTCATCTAAAAGCTGGCTATTTTATTAGGCTCAAGTGTTTCATAATTAATTGCTTGGGCCTCATTTTTTTTTTTTTTTTTTTGGTGAATAAGAAACAGTTTCCAGTGTATGCTTATAGAGCTGGGAGGTGATACCAGCTGGTTCACTACTAACCCCTGGATGTGTCTTCATTGTACTTCTTTGAGCATATATTTTTAAATGTGTTCTAGATGGTGAACTGATTTTTCCCTCTTTTTGTCTCTCCTTTTGCAGCCCTGTGTAAGTATTTGAATAATGGTAGGAATAGAGGATTATGTAATATATGGACTGTACAGTTCTGTAACCTATATATGGAATAGATTCCAACCGTGGGTCTGTCTAGCAACAAGCTAATTAACCTTCATAGTGAAATGAGAAATTTGTGGCAAATTATAGGTTAATTAGAACTGTGTCCCCAGAACACAAAACTGATCAAGATTCTTTCTTTACTTATAGGTTAACACCCGGGCCGGACCCTCTCAACACACCAGCCCTGCAATCTCAGATTCACTTCCAAGCAATAGGTGAGAGTGGGCAATTGAAGCATGTCCACCTATGATAATCTGTGAAGTTGGGGGTAGTCTGGGGAAGAGGCTTGTGGGATGGTACCTCTTTCCTGTAAAACAAAGATGTGTCTGTGGCCAGAAAGAAATTTGTCTGGCCAGATAATCCTAGCTCCATATTGGCTAAAGAGAAAGGACTTCAAATAGAAAGATGATGAAATTAGACATGTTAGATGATTAATTTTTTTGGTTTGTGGGATGATTTTCTGTCAGTCTCCAAATTATACAGAAAATTCAGTGCCTGTTTCATGTCTTGAAGGTCTAATTTGTAGATGGCATAATGCTTATTAATTTTTTCTTGCCTACCCATCTTCTGGCAGTATGGTTATCAATGGCATCTTCATCAGAAAGAAGCAGGGAGAGGTGGTGAGATTTGATGTGACCAGTTGTGTTGCTCACTGGTCATGTCTTTGGTCCTACGGGAGATCACAACTGTATAGCAGGAAGATCATTTTTGGGAATTCATACTAACATTGCCCCATACTGGGTCAGATGTAAGACGCAAGCCTTTTCAAAGTATCCTTCTCACAAGCCTGAGAACTCACTGCCAGACCGTCATGGGCCTCAGAAGGAGTGATATGCTTAATTTTGGTTGTGCATTTAGTTGTTCAGCCAGTAGACATCACATTGCTGTAATGGAGGGTGATACCCTGAAGGTGATTACTGCACATGTGTGGCTTCACCTTGGTGACTGGAAAGCCAGCGTTGAGCTGGAAACCCTGGTTCTGGGGCCTCAGCCAGTGCACACAGCCCTTTCCTGGCTGAGGCGTGATCAGGCTTCTGCTTTCCCTTCTCTGCCTCTTGCTACCCCTTCACCCAGTCTGGATTCTCTGGCCCAGGGGGTGTACTGCTGTGATTTAAGTTTCTTCTTCTGACTGCTGCTTTACTTACCTGTCCTTTCCTCCAAAATCACTTCATTATGGTGTCAGTGTATCTACCACCAGCTTCCCTGCTGTGACATGTAGCTTAAACAGTTTATTCCGTCTTATAGTACAGTTAGCTTGAGATTCCCCAGAGGACCATCTGCCTTGTGGTGACACTGGCAGGTGTTTTAGTTCTCCCCAGAGGGATAGGCCCTGCCAATGGTGCTTTGCAGCTTCTTTCTGCACGCTGGCCCTGTGAGCCATGGCCCTGCAGAGTTGAGGCATGGAGGCAGAGGGCCACCGGCTTCATGCAGCTCTGAGAAGACAAGGCATTTTATTGTTACCACTGCTTTCAGGAAAGGTGCTATCCACAGACTGACTGTGAGCCCTGAGTTAGAACAGAGTGTTCATACTGTTTTAAGTCAGGTTTCATCAAGCAAAATGGAATTGAAAAGATGGCAAGACAGAGAAGCAGGATAACTTTACTGTTTTCTCACATTTATTTTAACAAGTGTGAGAATTAGCTTGGTTTTTCAAAAATTATCATGTGTATTCACAGAATATAGGGTTGGACAGAAGTTCAGAGACCACCTGATAGCTTAGTGTTCCTCAGCCTTTTTATCTGTGGCATTTTAACTTAGGAGAGAGATGATAGCCTCACAAATAGTAATAATAATTTGCTTCAGTAGTGATTCTTGTTAGGGAAAGAATGCTATTTGAAAAAGTCCTACAGGTGACTTTAATATGCCACCCTAGGTTGGCCACATTCTATGCTTCAGGTTGATAACTAGCCAATGGGTATGTATTGAATTCTTTATTCAGTAGGTGCTGTCCTATGCATTGGGAACACAGTGTGGTCCTTATCCACTGAGTCCACCATCTCACGGGTATATAGGTAAAACAAAAGTATACATACATTTACGCCTTGTAGTTAGTGTTGTGCAGGGAACAAGCAGATGCAAAGAGCGAGAAGACTAGACAGAGATGTGTTGAGATGTAGACTGGGTACCAAGGGAAGGCTTTCTGGGGAGAGTGATGTTTCCATCTAGACTGAAGGGTGAGAAGGACCTAGGTATGTCAACATGCAGAGAAGGGCTTTTCAGATAGAGTGAAGAGCATAAGCAAGGCCCCAAAGTGGGGAGGAAGCCCAGCACATATGTGAGTAGACCAGTTCAGCTGGAGCACAGGGAGGGGCATTGGTTGGGCCAGGGCGAGCAGAGGGGGAGAGCTGCAGGAGTGATAGGAGATAAGGCTGTGGACAGGTGACAGGCATGCAAGGCCTGGAAGGCCAGTGGTGTTCAGCCTTTGCTCTCATGCTCTGTGAGCCTGTAGAGGGTTTTTGGCAGCCGTGTGACATGGCTGGCCCTGTCAGATCCTCAGCCTGTGGTGCAGAGGAATAGGAGAAGCACCACCTACTCCTGCCATGCTTTGATGCATGCCCCTCTCCTAACCAGGTAGCCATCCAACCTGTTCTGAACATCCCTGTGACAGGAATCCACTTCATTGGCCCAAGAAGCCCCTTCTGCTTTCATTTAGCTACTTCTTAGAAGGTTCGTTTTTGTGAGCTGGAACATGTCTCCCATCAGCACAAACTTGTAAAAATCTAGTTGAGACTTCAAAACGTAGCCGTTCCCTCTTGGAGGTGATAGTTTTTCCGGTTGTCTTTCCTACAAATACACTTTTTGTCCTAGACTTTCAATCTCAGTAAATTCTCTCGCCCCATTGCTGACTCTGGATAACCTGCCAGTCATCCTTCACTGCTCCCTGGCCTCCCTTCTGAGCAGCTCTGCATTTGTCTGCTAGCCTGTGTCCCCGCTGTGGCTCAGGTGCTTCAGGCTAGAGCACCACACAGCCTCCCGAGGCTCCTTACTTCCAGCTTTGCCCCATCTCAGGCTGTCCTCCACCCCATCTCAGGCTGTCCTTCACCCCATAGCTAGAGTGGTTTTGCTAATTATATTAGTTAGCTTTTCATCACTATAATGAAATAGCTGAGGCAGTCTAATTTTATAAAGTTTATTTAGTTCAATTTTGAAGGCTGCAAGTCCCAATGACATGGCACAGCTCTCGTAAGGATTTCTTCTTGGCTGTGTCACCTCATAGTTGATTGCAGGAGCTAGAGGTATGTAGGAGTGAGTAATCACATCTTTTTTTTTTTTTTAATTTTCTTTTTTTAGTTGTAGATGGACACAATACCTTTCTTTATGTATTTTTATGTGGTGCTAAGACTCAAACCCAGTGCCTCACACATTCTAGGCAAGCGCTCTGCCACTGAGCTACAGCCCCAGCCTGAATAATCACATCTTGATACAGGAAGCCAGAGAGAGACCCTGGTCCCGCAGTCCCTTTTGAGGGCACACACTCAGTTGACCTGAGAACTCTCACTAGGCCCCACCTTTTAATGGTCTACCTCCCCAACACTGTCTCACTAAGGACCAAGCCTCTAACTCATGGACTCTTGTGGGATGAACCAAGTCCAAACCATAGCACTGAGGGCCAGCTGTGAACCATCATTCTCTACTTTAAAGTCCTTTACTGTTCTTCATGCTTTCAGAATGAAGCATGACTGCCACTGGTGGTGAGCAGTGGCCCGATAGGTCCAGATGCTCTGTTCACTCCAGCTTTGCTGATGAACACCAGGTACCTGAATGGATCAGTTTCCTCTGACCAGTGGACCTGCACATCTGTTTCTGCCTCTCTTGTTCCCCCCATTTTTTTTTTTGTTTCTGTAACCTCCGTCCCCTTCAATCTGGCTGACCTTAGTCAGTGGACCAAATTTTCTTCTTTTGAAAGCTGTTTGTGATTACCACCTACCTCCCAGTCTACACCAAATACCCCTTCTATAGATTCCTATAATCCCCCATGCTTCCCTTTACTGCATCAGTGAGCCCATGGCAGTAAAATCACCTTTGTCCTCCCAACAGCTTCTGTACCAAGGACTATGACTATAGCATATCCATTATTGAAGTCCCAATTCTTGGCATGATGTGTGGCACATAGGAGATAATTAATCATGGTGGAGTGAGTGGATGAATGACTATGTGCTTACATTGCCTTTAAATGTCACCTCTGGATTTAATTCTCCCAACTCATTTGCTTTTCTGATTCTTTACCTTTTTATTCTTTGGATATCTCAGTGTCTCTCTTCAGTTTCATGCCCAGGATACAATGTATGACATTTAAATTTTAAAATGATTTTTTAAAAAGTGATTTTTTTAAAAGCTCAAGTCACTCTGGCCTTACAGATGAATGAAATCATAAATAAAGTGATACACAAAGTAATTTCCAGGATACAAAATGTTTTTGGTTGCGGGGGGGAGGGTGATGGCAGTTGGAATTGAACCCATGGCCTCATAATGCTAAACATGCAGCCTCAGCCCCACAGTGATTTTTTTGACCAGACTAAGTTGGTACCCAGATATTGGCATATTGAATGAAATCAGGGTTTTCCTATGTTGCTCTCAAAGCATGAATTGTTCTTTTCATTGTTGTTTATTAAACTGTTTATTATACTAAGCCTTCTAATTCATGTGGTGTTGCTGGGTCATATTTACTGAATTCAAGTCCCAACTGCCAAGGCAAGGCTTTTCCTAAACAACTTGGCTTTTTTCTTTTGTAAAATTAGGATGATTAAACTTTCCATCTATCTACCTCTGGTGTTAGCAAGATTGATGAAGCTGTATTAAGGCATCACATTTTGTTTCTTGGATGAAAGGCATTTTGTAAATGCAATGAATCAAAATGTTATTATTTCAAGTTTATGACATAATTGAATATCTGTGAAGAAACATTACCTAGGCTTTGTTTGGTTATTTGTGTTTTTACACTAATTGAAACTATCAAATTGGGAGTCATTTATGGGAATACTTGTATTTAAATATTTCCCAGAGTAAAAGGGTTTTTTTTTTTTTTGTATGTGTGGGTGGGAGAGGGGGGTTGACTTTGAGCTAGGCCTCTACATTAGTTGCATCTTTAAATTAGGAATACTATCTATATCCTCAAAGGTGTAGTTATTGTGAGGATTAAATTAGGATAATAAGTAATAGCATTCAACACAATTCTGGGCTTTGGTCATCATTTGGTAAATGGGACCTGCTGTTGTTATTTTGTTAATTGGACTGATTATATGCAGTTGTTTGCTTTTTGGTATATGTTTTGGCTTTAGTCTCTTAAGTGCCACTTTAGTACATGGATTCTTAGACTTGGGGGAACATTATTAACATCTAGAATGAGAACATGTCTTCTGAAACCTATGAAAGTGAGGACTGAGGCTCCATGGTCTGTGTTGGGTCACAGAAGTTTAAGAAGTCTTTAGAGAGAAGAATAGTTATAACTTGGCAATTGAAAAACTTGAAGTCTGAGATTTTCTCAAATGTAATGTATTGACGATACTAAATGATGCATGTGTATTTTGTGTTAGGTCCTGAGTCCTTTTGCTTTCTAATGTTTTTAAGATCTTTATGTTTTACTGTGTTTCTACAACTACTGCCAAATATAGTAACAACCAGAGCAACAACCACCATTTACTGAACATCTTGCTTGTGCCAGCTCACTTTGAGGATGAGGAGGGAATGGAATAGATAGAATGAGACGTGGTCTGTGTTCTCAGGGAGCTCCCCATCTTGGGGTAGGAAGAAAGATGACTACACAAATGACTCACACAGGGAGAGAGTTAATCTGGTAGATAGGTAGAGGGTTAGAGTGCATAATTAAGAATAGAATTAGGAAGATTTTAATGTCAAATAGAACATTGAGGGCTGGGGTTGTAGCTCAGCGGTAGAGTGCTCGCCTAGCGTGTGCGGGGCCCTGAGTTCAATCCTCAGCACCACATAAACATAAATAAATAAATAAAGGTATTGTGTCCAAATTACAACTAAAAAATAACTATTAAAAAAAATAGAACATTGATGCCATTTTGAACACCACTCTATTGGTTGGGTGGACATGTACAGGTGTAACTCATGATAGAGTTGGAAGAACCTTCCTTTGGCCACCCCTCTTTCTTAAGATGGTCTTTTGCTAACCTCATCCACATACATTTTTAATAGTGTATTAGGTTTCTGTTGCTGTGGCAAATACCTGAGACCATCAAAACAAGTTTATTTTGGAGGTTTCAGTCCTTGGTTGATTGTTCCCATTGCTTTTGTACCTGTGGTGAGGCAGCACATCACAGTGGAGCGTGTAGGGGTGAAGCTGCTTACCTCATAGTAGTGTAGAAGCAAACAGAGAGAGAGTGTGTGTGTGAAAAAGAGGGAGACACCAGCATCCCACAATTCCCTCCAGCATGCCCCCAGTGACCCAAAACTTCTCACTAGGCCTTACCTCTTCTCACTAAGCCTTTAGGGTACATCAAGATCCAAGGTATAGCACATAACCATATATGTCCAGAGAACATCTTAACATTCCCCTAAATAACACTGGAGCTGAGTCTTGTGTCTATAGGAAAGCAGAGGAGGCAGCTACAATTTATTGGTTTTATTCATAAAAATATATTGACTATGTATAAGACACAGTGCTATTTTGTGATATTTAATTTTCCTGTTTACTCAATAAAGTTGATATTTTTTCCATTTTATAGAAAGAGAAAATTAAAGTTCAGAGAGGATGAGTAGCTTATCCCAGATCATGCAACTGTTGAAAACCAGGATTTATTTCTACTGTACATTGACTTCCCAGGAGTTGAGTTATAATTCTTAACTGTACTAAAAGACCAGGACTTATTTTCTATTTTATTTTTTGAAGTTCTGTAACCTGTGTTTACTGTGAACATTCCTAGAGTGCATTGTTAGATACTTTGTGCTTACCAGATGACAGTGTCCACATAAAATTGCTACTGAAAGGCTACCCAAAGGCAGTGGAACTAATATCCAAAATATCACTGCAGTTGTCCATTAAATATTGTAGCTTCCTCTTGACTGTAGGCTTCTTTATTGCTTAGATTATTAATGAGATTTCATTCACCTCGTTGGTACCTATGATATTCAGCCAGTCACTCTGGAAAAAAAAAAAATCTTACACAGAGAGAAGTATAGTCTGTGTCTATACCTAAAAGGTGTATTTTCGTCTGGAATTTTCAGTAGTGTTCAAAGGTGTTGGTGATCTCACCACTAATTATGTCTTTCCTTTTCAGCTTGAAGAAGTCTTCTGCTGAACTGAAAAAAATATTAGCCACTGGGCAGGTAGGTATTATGTAAATATGAAGCTTTTCAAGTAATAGTAACTTATTACTGTACAGTTTTTATCCGTAAACTTATTGAACAGTAAAGAACCTGTGACTTTCTTCTTGTCATAAATGAATGACATGGTTTAATTTGATTGGCAGAACAATTTGCAGCACATTTTTCAAACTGTGCTAATGGGTTTCACTCCCAGCAGATTGAAGTACCATGCACACACCCTGCTGCCATCTCAGTTTAAAAAAAGTTAATCAGTTCTGAACAAGTGTGTCAACCCATGGGTTGTTGAAATGGTCCTGCATTCTGAGGCAGCTGTTTCTTTCATTATCTTGGGGGAGAAAATGAAAAACTGGTACTTTTTTTTTTTTTTTTTACCTTAGCTCCTTTTGTCCTGAAACTAACACTGATTTTAGGAGAGCAGCAGGACATCAGACCTTTGGTACAGAAAATCCCTGAGCTTCTGGAAACCTTGGTTTGCTTAGATGATGGCCATGTGAAACTGAGTGACCTAACCCAGCCAGTGAGGACAAACGGGCCTGCAGGCCAGTTATTTCTCACTAATTTTAATTCAAGTAAATGGACACATTTGATATAGTATAGTGCTTTTAAACATACACTGGTAAATTACGCTACCTACAGGGTCCTCGATTCTTCAATAGCAACATAAATGCGTTTTAATGTTTGTTATAGTGGAAGCCCTCTGATAGCCTTGCAGGCAGGCGCCTGTCCATTGCGATCAAGCCTGCCTATTAGGCTCTATTGACTGAGACATCTGTGTCACTGCAAATAAAAGACTCTTATTGATTTTCTTAACTGCTGTTCACTTCCCGTCCATGTTTCGAAGGCTGAAATCTTAATTATCTCAGATGCTTATTCAGTGCCTTCACACGCTGACCTCTCCAAGCCTCATTGGCATTTCATGAATCAAGTACTTGTAGTGGAGCATGTCAGGAAGACAAAGCTGGGTCCTCATGCTTGTCCTTTAATATCACCTGTAACATTGTGGTCTGATAGATGCGCGTGCTTTAAAACGGTGGCTGTATGGTAGTGCTTCTGGAAGCCTTTCTTACTTAGCATATCATCCCTTGAATACAGTTAGAGAAAATTAAGTTGATTGGCTTCTGACAGCTGGTTGTCATCCAGTGTGTGTGAACTCCTGTCCTTAAACATCTTGCAAGCAGCTGAGGAGAATCTAGCATTATATGTATGTATAATCTTGATGGTCTCAAAGTTTTAGATAGGTTTTTATTTATTTATTTATTTTTCCTGCTGGGGATTGAGCCCAGAGCAGGAAAAATAAATAAATAAATAAAGCTTTATCTCCAGCCCTCAAATTTTAGATAGTATCTACCTAATAATTTTGCCTTTAAGAGCAAAAAATTTGTTTAGAATGAGGTCGCCCCAGTGCTTGGGATGTGTGCAGAACCTGTATGAAATAAAACCTAACTAGAAACATTGAGCCTAGGATATTTATGTATCTTCACCATGCTTGCATTCTAGTTACTAATTGTAATTTATGTAGCAGTCACTTGTGTTCTTCAGCTGGAAAATATATTTCAAAATTGACATAAATTAAGAAGCTTTAACTACATTTGTTCAACCCAGGCAATGGAAAATAACCTGTCATAGATTCCTCTTTCAAAAATGAAAAACAATTGATTTCCACTGCAAAAAATAAGCATTCTGAAATGTTCCCAATGTTTTGACAACAAATCCTAGTACCATACACATCTTAGTGGTCTCAGCTATGAGATTCTCTGTGGTGGGAGATGGTCATGGCAATGATTTTTGACACTTAAAGATTGTTCATCTCTTTCCCTTGGGGATGTGCTAAACCCCACATTAAATAGTCTGGCATTTTATTTATTTTAAGGATAAGCTTTTCTTAAGTTACTTTCATTCAAAAACTAAAAACACTCCACCTTTGGAAGTTTTCAAAATATCTCCTACTGATTCCTGTTGGTGGTACAGATTAACTAAACCATGGGTGAGATTGCACTTCAGTGAGGTAATGTGCAGCATGGGCATCAATAAATTTCTGGGCTGAACACTGACACCACTTGATATGGAAGATGTAAGTCACATTTAACGATGCTTTAACACTTGAGCGTAGTTTTTTATTTTAGTGGTTTATGCTCTCAAGCATTAATAATGATTTGCCTTTCCACTGGCCTCCACTTAGATTTAATAAGGAATTCATATTAATCATTAAAAGAAAGGGACATGATTCTTCAAGATAATCAAATATTGACAGGTTAGAAATAGCTTTCTGCCTGGGTTCATTGATATAGGTTATGTGATATAAATATTTATTTCTTTTCTGTCACTCAGAGTAAATGCCACCAATTGATTCAGCATTGATATAGTGTCAACAGTTCATAAGAAACATTTGACTGGCTTGTGTTTTCCGATTAGTCTCTGCTCTATAAAGTGGGATTTACTAAATCTCTCCAATTGTCTGCTCATAGAGTGTGACTGCTTTCTGAAACCATTATTGCTTCGATTTGTGAAGCAAAGGTCTAGTGATAGGACGAGTTTCTGTTAGACCTTTACATATAAAATAAGGATTAATTGAGCATTTTTATTTTAATGATTTATAAGCGATAGGTACTGATTCTTCCTAATATAGGCAGACAATAAACAAAGAACGCTTTCTTTGCTAATCCATAATTGAACTCCATTTCATTTTTCCCATTAATTTCATTAATATATTTAATCAAGCATTGATTTAAGAGTTTAACATTTAGTCTTTGGAATGAAGACATTGTTTTCCTGTTCACACTTTGTAATGGAGGATTCTGTTTTTCCAACTCAAAAAATAAATCAAAAGGTAATTTTGGCATGCTTTATTGAGGCTGTAAGTCAGCCTCACTGCTGTGTTCTCCGAGTATTTTCTCACCAGGTTCAGGGTGGCATCATCTGTTTAACATTGGTCCTGGGTTTAAACTGATTAGAAATAGCCCAAAGGGTCAATTTAAAGGATTTTAAAAGTGCACAGCTCCTCAAGGATATGTGTCTAGGACCTTTGCATCTCTAGTGTTGTTTTGCCTCTTTTTGTGTTTTAGCATCTGTGGGAGAGGGTGAGAATATTTTTTCCCGATTCTGATAAATCAAGTATGAATGTTTTATGAAGTAACAGGTCTAGAACTGATTTTGGTCCTGCTGCATCTTTGGCTGCTATTTTGAGAACTTCAAATACCTTTAGAAAAAATTCTTTTGAGTTTAGGAGAAAAGAGGGAGGAATAGATATCCACCGTAAATCAGGTTTAAAACGGAATCATTACTAGTATACAAAACTCTTAGATTCTCATGGTTTATCTTAGACCCTACATGAAGACTGAAACATAAATGAGACAGTGTCTAAGTCCTAACTACACACCTATTCTTTGCTTCTTGCTTTTTTTTTTTAGTTGAAACAAGGAAACTGAAATACATTTTAAAACTATTTAGCATATCTTTATTAAATAATAAAAAACCCTCTTTCACTTCTTTTCAATTTGAAGAGCTATGTGATTATGTGATTTTTAAAACCTTAAAAAATAAAACAGATATAGCTAATTAAATTGCTTTTTATTTGTGCGTGCCTGTTACTTGATTATTTGCTTTCCTCTGGGCCAGTGGCCTTGATAGAGAAGAACCCCCTTCCATACCTCACCTGAGACAAGCTGCTGATGTACAGCACGGAACTGAAGTGTGCTGAAAGACAGAGCTAGCCTGGACTAGTCGTTATTGACGCATTACAGAGCTGAAATGAATGTGCCAGATGGTCTTAAAATGCTGTAAAACTGTGATTTTGATTACAGCTACAATACTTAAATGCTATACTGTATAGACTTACAAATCCCGCCTTTGTTTCATAATCAGCACTGTTCCTGTGCTTTATTTTGAAAAATTGACTTAATATGTTCATCTAACTAAAAAAAATAATGTTCTTATTAACAGTTTGTTAAACCCTGTAATTTTTTAATAGTTAAGAACAATTACGGTAACCCATTTTGATCAAATATGAAATTTTCAAAATGTGCTTTTATAATCAATTCACAAGTTCTGCTCTAATAGTTTTTCTTTAATTTTTTTTTTTTAAGCCTTGTGGGGTGGTGCATGCCTACAGTGCCAGCACTTGGGAGGTGAGACAGAGGAGTGGCTTGAGCCTAGGAGTTCAGGACTAGCCTGGCGACATAGTGAGACTCTGTCTCAAAACAAAATAACAAAACCAAACCCATCTTTTGAAAAAGTGAGAAATATTTATATAATATATAAAAATAAGAAAATTCAGATAAGCAAATATTAAGAGTCTGATATTTCTTAATATTGAAAAATCAATAAAAGTAGCAGTTGATGCATAAGCTAAACAAAGGCCTGTATGTCTTTAAAGCATCCCATAGTCTCTAATATTATTTTTTAAATGGATACTGTCTTTTACAGTGAAATGATCCTAGAACTTGTTCTTCAAACCCATTTTTATCTTTACCCAACCTTTGCAGCCTTCCCTATTTTCTGAGGGAGTCCATATTTGTCTGGATTTTTTCCATTCGTAGCTTGTTTACCCAGTGCTTAGTGCTAATGCATGCACACATGCAGCAAACTTCATCTGCCTCCCTCTCCTGTCCTCCTCACCTCTCCCCTGCCTGCCCCCTGATGATGTTGCGTGCCTGTCACTCCTGTTTGGGTTGGAGTGCTAGGAATGCTGGCCACTTCTCTTACAGCTTAGTACCAGTGGTAAAGACTATGATGTTGGGATTATAATGAATGCAGGTGCTCAGGGACAGCTATACCTACCACTTTGCCTATGCAGTGGTGGAGAGGACATGCCCACAGACCATGGTCCTTCCAGAGCTGAGAACCTAGGTACTGTGTACCTACATCCTGCTTACCCTTATGTATTGGTGCCACTAATTCAAAATCTGTAAACTCAAGAAAGTGAAATTTCTCTCTCCTAGAAATTTCTTTCAATCCATGATGAGAATATAGCTTGTTAGGCAAGTTAATGGTACAAATTAGATTGTTGGAGGCACGTTTAGATTACCTAGAGAATGTTCTTAGAGAATTGGCCTAGTAGCCTATTTGTACGCGCCAATAGATATTGCTCTTTATGTGCCTTCATTGATCAAAGTAAACCAAATAGTAATTCTGCTAGTTTAGCTTCTCAGTCCACTTTATGTACTGCATTTCTTCATGCTGTTTGAAAACATTCAGTCCATAATAATGTGGTTTTCTTTTCTTTCCTTTATACCAAATCTTTTATACAGATTAAAAAAAGTTGTTTTCTGTATTTATAGTATAAAGGTTGTGGTAAACAGAGTTTTTCTCAAGTAGGAAAGTAGTTGCCAATTTTTCTGACTTGTCTGTCATTTTTTCACTGACCCTAAATATAGTAATTAACTGATTGTAAATTGCATCAATCACATTGTACTACAATTAAATTGGGTGCTGCATTGGCCTTTACACATTAATCTGTCGATATTCTTTTAGGATTGGCAAAACGGCTTGGAAAAGGAGCTGTTTCTGTTACTTGCACAGCACTCCTAATTATCACAGCTCTCTGAAGCTTCAACTTCAGAAATGTATAGAAGAAAAAATTTCCCTTGATAAATGATGCCTTGCTTTATTCAATTGGTGGAAGTTTAGAGTAGAGCAAATATTTAAAGCTTTACAATAATGGTCTGAGAGTAAACTATTTTTTTCCAAGTGATATTGAATTAAAAACTCCATCCATTTTCTGCCCATGCAAGGCAGTGCAATTCCCTGGAAATTGATTTTTTTTTTTTCCCAAGGCTTACGATGGCTTTCTCCAAGCTTTAGGTATGGGGAAAAAAAAAAAACACCTTTATTAAATCTACTTAGTGAATAAAGTTGGCAGCTGGACCAGCATGCATAAAAAAAATTACTGAATGCCTCAAATAAAGGCTGACTAGTCTTAGTTATCTGATAAATACTTATTTACAGTTACTTTTACAGTTCTTCAGAAACTGAAACATTTTGTGGGTGCTAGCATAATTTATCTACTATTTGTAATACAAATGAGGATAATATTTTGGGTATAGTAGGTTTTATGGAGTCTTGGAAAATATGCATGCTGTTTTGTATATCAAATTATAAAAATGACCGTAGTTTGTAAAAATCACATGCCTGCGTATTTTCCCTTAATGCATTATAATGTTTGAGTACATGTACATTTAAAAGTGCATTGATTTGGCATTTCTCCATCAGCATAATACGGTTTCTACCGGTTATTGCTGTATACTAATTTATCATTTGCAAAGAAAGGCTCTTTATGCTCAGGAAAATCATAAACATTATCCAGTTAGTTTGCTAAATGTTAATTATAGGGTCACCTGAGGAGTTTTCAGGGCTGATTTATTTACACATCATGCATTAGATTATGGGCCTGGCTGTGCGCCTGTGTGTATATGCTGTCTTCCCAAGTTTGACTTTGGTTGTGTGCATTGCTGTTCAGCACTGGTTCTATGCAGGGCTAGAGACTGTTTTCTTATCAGTATCTCTGACCTGACCCTTTTGAGCTATGTTATATCATTCCATTTTGACACCTTTTATCAAACTTTAATGAAATGACCCAGGCAAACAAATTGTCATTAAACTTTCCATCACTTTGTCCCTTGGTATCGTCTTTTATAAATTGGACAGCAAATGTTGTATTGATCTTCTCGTTCTTGCAGCTGAACTTGAAATGACCCAGACCGCTTGTTGTTTATGGCCCAGAGTTGCTTTTCCTTGACATTTCCATCCACAGCATGACACCCTTTTTGTTTTTCTTTCTTTCTTGTGGAGATAAATGAACAAGACATACGGTATCGAGACACCCTTGGTCATGGCAACGGAGGCACAGTCTACAAGTGAGTAGTCAATTTTGTTTAAACTTTCTTTCCACTTTTACCAAATGCTAGGAATCCAAGTACTCTGTGGCAAAAATTTTTTTCATGACCACCAGTACTTAGATTTATTTCCACATTTGACTCCAAAATTCTTCAAGGCATCTTGTATTTTCTCAGGAATTGCCTGAAAAGTGCATTTATATTGCCTTTTAATATTTCTGGGTCTGCATCTCTCCTGGGCGAGCAGTTAATAGTCGACCATTAGCAAGCGTACTTTTAACTGGCCTGAAGTTTAATGCATATTTTCCTTCACTCTTTAACACCATTATTATTATTATTATTATTATTATTTTTAACTTGCTCGCACCCTGTGCTTGTTCCTTGCCTGTTTACAGTTATGCCCAGTGGAAGCCAAACCTTATAAATACCACTGCTATGCCCTGTGTTGACACTATAAGTTATTAAAAAGCCTTCTTCCTGTTGTATTTTCTTCTTTCCTCACCCTACTCCCCTGAGAGAATTTCTACACACATTGATGAATATGTTAAGTTATAAAACTCTCCCAAATTCCAGTCGCGGTGATCTTACCCTAAAGGAGTGTTCATTTTCATATTAAAAAATGCTAACCATAAAAAATAGTTCTCTCAATAGGGAAGTCTTTCTCATGCAGTAGTGCAAAGTTTAAACTACATAATGTAATATCTGGTACTTAATAGTCTGCAATGGTGTATGAAAAATATTCCACTAGGAATTAAAAAATCCATACTCTGTAAGAAAACCCTGAGGGAGTAATAAAGCTTTCCTCTAGAGAGCTGTTTTCCATATATACACTAACCCTGCATTACATTATGATGGTGTTTTTACCTGAGATATTTTAATATCAATAATAATATATAATTTCAGAGTTATAATTAATTTATTTTCTAATTGGTTACTCACGTTCTTAGAATTTTAAGTTCTGATGAACCACATGAATACAGATGCTGTCCTATGGTCACAAAGGGTCGAATCCTAAAATCCCAGAATATGCCTCAGGTATTAATGAGGCCTTGGCATAGAATTTGATTTCTCAAGGTTAGAAGCTCCTTTGAAGTCATCTGATCTGGTTACTCATCCAAGGCTTTAGCCCCCTCTTTAGGTACAACCAGGATGTGAGTTTTTTCTCCCAAATATAGTCCTTTAAGAATTTCTGTTCACTTATTTGGATTCTTTTCTCCTGCAGATGACTATTATGAATAGTAGGTCTGAAAGTTAAGTCCTTCTACTGTGACGTACATAACATATTTCTTATACCATCTTTGGGCTTTGCCTGTAAGGTGTTGGAGGCCTTCCCTACTGAGTTTGAGGCTGTTCTTCTTTTGGGTTATACTGGCATTCGTTCCAGGCAGCTCCAGCACCACATGTATGACATCTCTTCACCTTAGTCTTCCCCTCCCTACCCTTATCTGACCTGAATTTTTACCCTGTTCTAAAGCTTCCTAGAAAGGAAATAAGACGAACTATTATTTGCTCCTATTTGCTTCTGTTGAATTCCCTGGAAGGAGCAACTTTCACTGCTTCAACCTTTTTTTTTTTTTAAATATTTTTTTTTAAGAGAGAGTGAGAGAGGAAGAGAGAGAGAGAAAGAATTTTAATATTTATTTTTTAGTTATCAGCAGACACAACATCTTTGTATGTGGTGCTGAAGATCGAACCCAGGCTGCACGCATGCCAGGCGAGCGCGCTACCACTTGAGCCACATCCCAGCCCTTCAACCTTTCTTTTTAATGCTTTTGTTCTGATAACTAGATATTATAAACAAGAAAGACTTATACCAACCCTTTGGATTCCCTTCATTGGCTTCAAATGGAAACAAAAACCATTCATTTGGCTTCTAACTTCTTATTTGTGTTGTTACACCAAATATTTAGCTTTGGATTTCTTTCTTTTAAAAGAGAGAAAGAAAGAGAGAGAGAGAGAGAGAAAATCCCAATATTTATTTTTTAGTTTTCGGCGGACACAACATCTTTGTTTGTATGTGGTGCTGAGGATCGAACCCGGGCCGCACATATGCCAGGCGAGCATGCTACCGCTTGAGCCACATCCCCAGCCCAGCTTTGGATTTCTTAACTGAAGACCTATCATGAATTTACTGTCTTGTTATGTTCTATAAGGAAAAAAATATAAGGTCACCAAAACCTGGCAGATGATTTTTATTAGACATAATACCATAGTTGTTAAAAATTTTCTTTTTTATGTGTTGTATATCAAACCCAGGCCCATGCATACTAAGCATGCTCTTTGCCACTGAGCTACACCCCCAGCATAGATGTTAAAATCCTCTATCAAGTTAAAACAAACGTGCATAAAAAGGGCAAATATAGAGGAAAGTAGAAATAACATGCCCATCCTGCAAGGAACAATTACAGCATGAATTATATTAATGCCTTAAAATTATATTAATAGTAAAATGCACATTATATGAAATTTACCATCTTAACCATTTTTAAGTGTACAATTTGGTGGTATTAAGTACATTCACATTGTTGTGCAACTGTCAATACCATCCATCTCCAGATCTCCTTTCCTCTTACCTCTCAGTGCATTAAGCAGTAATTCCCATTTGTTTCCTTATTGTTATTTTTTAGCTAAGAAGCATATCGAGAACTTCTTCCATGAGGTCCCCAATGTCCAGGAACATTCTTTTACATGTTCTTAGCACAAGTTCTTCAATTTACTAGAATGCTGGGATGACATTAGCAACTTGTTCTAAGAGTTTATTTACCTACCATTGCCAATGCTCTATACAAGTGTTGAAGAATGTGTTGGACATAGGTTTCTTATGGAAGGTGTCTAACAGTATTATGATAACTTTAATATTTTATTTATATAATAGATTTCTCATAAAAGAAGAAATTCTACTTATCCTTTTGCCTATGTGATTCTGGTTTTGATGTTTTGAGGTTGGGTTTCTTTTATTAAAAATTTTTTTGTAGTTGTAGATGGACAGAGTGTTTTTATTTTATTTTTATGTGGTACTGAGGATCAAACCCAGTGCCACACACACGCTAGGCAAGTGCTCTGCTGCTGAGCTACATCCCCAGCCCTTTGAGACTGGGTTTCACTGTGTCACCCAGGCTGGTTTTAAACTCCTGGGCTCAAGTGATCCTCCTGCCTCAGCCATCCCAGAATAGGTGTGCACCACTGTACCCAATGCCTATGTGATTCCTAAAGGAGAAGAATATGAAGATACCCAATTGCATAATTCACTTAATCACTGAGCTTCATTTCTGCCTGGGTGTTAGTTTGTATTATTGTTCTTGTATCTCTGGCTTTTAATTCAGCACAAAGAAGTGGTGTAATCATCAAGAAATGAGAATCCACTTTACTAAAGTCTTTATAAAACACCATTTGATGTGTTATGATAGGGTCTCCTACACTAAGTTTACCTTAATGGTGTTGACCATAAAATTATGGTTTTTCAAACAAAAATGATTACATTAGAGGCTGTACTACATAAACTAGATGAAGAAAATATTGAAAAATCCACTCATTGGTAACAAAACTGCCTAACAGGCCTATTTAATTTTTTCTTATAGAGTATATTAAGCTAATAAGTGCAAAGCAAAAGTTTAATATTTTAGTCTTATTCACTTCACTTGATGGGATGTTGTAAATCTCAAGGGACGTGATGTCATGTGTAAATGCAATGTATATTATTTAATAGTTGGTACATTGTCTTCCTTTAAGTCTAGATGTTTTCCACAGTTATGCAATATGAAATTTTTGTCTCCATCATTTAAGCCAAATAGTAATGTAGATTCTCCATGCTGTCCCTCACTGAGCTGTTCTCTGTATTACGATAGTAACCTAGCAGGTAATTTTAAATTGGGATTTCTTGGATTACTATTTGTGTTAAATGGATCGTAAAAGAAATATCTTAGGCTATAGTTAAGCCCAAACCTAGGAAGGAGGAAAGTTCAGGAAAAGGAAATGGGTGCATTTTCATTATTCCTGTTTTCCAAAGCACTGCAAGTTTTGCTCCCCTGCCCCCCCCCCCCCCCCCCCCCCGCCAAAAAAAAAAAAAAATGAAGAACGTTACATGTTCTCTTTCCCTCTGAGAAATTCACAATGAATTTTAAACTTTGAGAAAGACAAAATAGTATGTGTTTTGTTAAGTTTGGGGCTAAGTTTGGAGCCTGCATGTGCTCCTAACAAGCTTTGCGACCTTGGGCAAGTTGTATAATGTTGCCTTCCTCCATTTTCCCAGCTGTAAAATGAGAACAATGATAACATCTATTTTATCAGGTTGTGAGGTTAAATGAGATGATCTATACAAGTTTTAGCACTGGCTGATACTTACTAAATGTTAGCTACTGGTAATGGTAGTACTAATAATGGAAGAAATGTTTAAACCCTCTATTTTCCACCTTCACTTGGTCATGGGACTCTTTTTGAGGAACAGCTGTAAATACCTCACAGAATTACAGTTGTGTTGAATTAACTTTGAGAAATTCTTTATTTATATTATGACACATAATTCTGTTTTCTGCTATTGTTCAGTTGTATCATAAATATTTACATGATTTAAAAGTTTCTCTTATCATAATTTATTTTCAGATTGCTATAGGACAGCTGGTATAATGTAAAGCCCACTTTACCACTGGAAAACACGAGGGCTCACAGTTTGTGGCCATTCTGTGGTTAAGCCAGAACTTGGAGCAGTGTCTCTTTTTGCTCTGCGCTTTTCCCCAGACAGTGTTGTTTCTCAAGGTCATGCAGAGTCCTTGGTGTTTCCTTGTATTTTCTAGTGCACCCAGCACAGGTCTGAGTAGATGCTTGATATGTGTTAGCTGAGATGAGAATGAGGCAAATAAAAATCTCTCCCAATTAGATTTTAGTCGGGCTCTTTACTTGGATTGGCCCCATATCTAGCTAGTTTTAGAGGCTACATGATTGTTCTGTGACATTCATTTAGAAGATAGGCATTTCTAAACAAAGGACATATATTCGATTAATTTCCATGCCCACGTAAAAGTTTT